ATTAAGTATAGGCTAGTTAGTTGATGCAGCACTAAATGGATATAAATAGAAATGCAAAGTGATGCCATTTCGTACACAAGTAATTCCTCAGTTCTGAAAAACATTAATAGACAGTTTATGAAGATGGGGTAAAATCGGCCAGTGATCGGACGATGCATTCAGGCAAATCGACAGTACAGCAAGACTATCTTTGGGCATGATTGGAAGAGGAAAACTTAGATTGGCCGACAGACACAACGGAAGTGTGTACTGTCTAGTCGCATTTGTTGAATCAGAAAACTTTGAACACGAGCTTTCATAATGGTCAATTTAGCTGAAGAAAGCAAAATCGAATTTCCGTTGCTGTGCATGTAAAATATTCAAATTGTGATGTGATGTGTAAGCAGAGGAAATGAAAATTTTGAGAATGACATGGGAAATGGGCTGCTGCTGCTACTACTACTACTACTACAGTTACTACTGCAGCAGAAACAAAAGGAGAGGAAAGGTGCTTAGAGAGGGTTGAGTGGCACTGACAAATGCAAAGTGGGACTGCTCGCTGTCAAGTTGACCGGCGAGCAGTCCAAGACAGATCACTGGGCAGAAGAGTGGACAGAGGATCAAGTGGACAACAGCAGCAGCACCGTGCATGGCAATGTCGTGATAGACGAATGAGAAACTCAGTTGCTAGCGAGGATGACAAACTAAAGACAAACGATTGTCAAAGAGAGAGGAAGAGGGAGAGCAGAGCTCGTGATGGTGGCCAAATGACCGTCTTCTGTTGCTCCCCTTTACAGTCAGCGAGAACTTACCGAGAGACACAGTNGGATCAAGTGGACAACAGCAGCAGCACCGTGCATGGCAATGTCGTGATAGACGAATGAGAAACTCAGTTGCTAGCGAGGATGACAAACTAAAGACAAACGATTGTCAAAGAGAGAGGAAGAGGGAGAGCAGAGCTCGTGATGGTGGCCAAATGACCGTCTTCTGTTGCTCCCCTTTACAGTCAGCGAGAACTTACCGAGAGACACAGTGTGGTCACGATTGACAAAGTCAAGTAGTCGAAATGCTGTTTGCTGTTCTGCCAAACACACAGGTCAATTAATTGGCCTCTTGGCGCACAAAGAAAAAATGCTGAGCCTAACTGAGCTCACAACTTGGAGCCACCTGATGATAGCCACTACAGCGGGCTGTTAGCAGAGATGAAAAAGGCAGACAGAGAGACAGGTGAAGTCAGAGACGAGTCTGCAGATCGAATGAGCCCCGACAACAGTGAGCAGAGCGCTTAAAAATGACGACCGAAGTAATGAAGTGTGCAGTGGAGAGAACGAGAGAGAGAGAGACAGGTAAGGAAGAAGAAGAAGAAAGAAGAAGAGGAGGAGGAGGTAGGTAGAGAAAGTAATGCTGGCTGCAATGCAAATGGAGATGCGGGGAGAAACCAGTCGAGATTTGNATGACGACCGAAGTAATGAAGTGTGCAGTGGAGAGAACGAGAGAGAGAGAGACAGGTAAGGAAGAAGAAGANGAAAAAGGCAGACAGAGAGACAGGTGAAGTCAGAGACGAGTCTGCAGATCGAATGAGCCCCGACAACAGTGAGCAGAGCGCTTAAAAATGACGACCGAAGTAATGAAGTGTGCAGTGGAGAGAACGAGAGAGAGAGACAGGTAAGGAAGAAGAAGGAGAAAGAAGAAGAGGAGGAGGAGGTAGGTAGAGAAAGTAATGCTGGCTGCAATGCAAATGGAGATGCGGGGAGAAACCAGTCGAGATTTGGGTCACTGGCACCAGCGTAAGACTCCTCTCGCAGTAGGGATAAACTACATCTAGTGTTAACGCGCAAATGCACTCATTACGAATTTAACAGTTTTATAAACTTGACGGCGAAGATTCCGTGCAGGAACAATCATAANGGGTCACTGGCACCAGCGTAAGACTCCTCTCGCAGTAGGGATAAACTACAGCTAGTGCTAACGCGCAAATGCACTCATTACGAATTTAACAGTTTTATAAACTTGTCGGCGAAGATTCCGTGCAGGAACAATCATAGCAATTTGACATGTTTAATTACGAGCAAGTACAACATCGAGTTAGAAAGAGGGAGAACACGGCAGTGTTTTGTGAAAAGCTTCACGCATCAAGACCTCAACTGCTAAACAAATTGCAATCAGGGTCGGTTGCTAATTTTGATGTCGGTTAAAGCCTGCAAAAAGGTGTTCCCATTGNGCAATTTGACATGTTCAATTACGAGCAAGTACAACATCGAGTTAGAAAGAGGGAGAACACGGCAGTGTTTTGTGAAAAGCTTCACGCATCAAGACCTCAACCGCTAAACAAATTGCAATCAGGGTCGGTTGCTAATTTTGATGTCGGTTAAAGCCTGCAAAAAGGTGTTCCCATTAATGATAGATGTGGTGGCGATGATAAAGTCTGAATTCACTCCGTCCTTGTGAGACAAGAAACGAAAGGATGATATCTCTGCAAAGGTGCACCCTCCGAGGAAGAAGACCAGCACCAGTTTCTGGTTCATTTCAGCCGCTGACTGCAGTGAGGTGGTGTCTGAGTTGCGTCGCTTTCGCAGGGCTANAAAAAGGTGTTCCCATTAATGATAGATGTGGTGGCGATGATAAAGTCTGAATTCACTCCGTCCTTGTGAGACAAGAAACGAAAGGATGATATCTCTGCAAAGGTGCACCCTCCGAGGAAGAAGACCAGCACCAGCTTCTGGTTCATTTCAGCCGCTGACTGCAGTGAGGTGGTGTCTGAGTTGCGTCGCTTTCGCAGGGCTGCCGGCAACTGCTGTGTCTCATCAAAGATGGGCACGTCCTGGCCAATGAGGTGTCGCGTAAGCAAATCAGAGAGTGACCTAAAGCCAAACTGGTCAAGGTGTTGCACAACTCGCACGCTCAGCGGGGTATAGCCGTGGTGGACATGGCCAGTGTCCGGAGAGCTGCTCGCAGTGGAAGCGTTCGAGGAGCCTGATGCCGCACCACCGGGAACGTTCCACGTCAACTTGAGGCGATTGCTGATCATCGAGTACGATCGGCCAGACCAGCCATAACTGCCGGAGACGCGAATAAGACCGCACCTCTCCAATACGTTCAGTGTAAGCATGTGCTCATAGCCATAGGTCTGCACGATCTCCCGCTTGTAAAAGTNATAACTGCCGGAGACGCGAATAAGACCGCATCTCTCCAACACGTTCAGTGTGAGCATGTGCTCATAACCATAAGTCTGCACAATCTCCCGCTTGTAAAAATCCAACACTTTTTGCTTTATGCCGTTCCCGCAGAAAGACTGAACGGCCAAAAGACGCAAAATTTTAGTGAGGTTCTCGCTGCGGCTGATACAGGCTTCAATGTAGGCGCTGCTAATGTCAGTGTCGATGCTGTTCAGAAACTCGTTCTCACACTGCGGAAAAATGGTCAAAATTAAAATTAGCAATGAATTAACAAAAAATACTTACGTAGATCATTTCGTGAAACTCTTCGACATCGGTAAATTCTCGTACCAGTTCAACCATTGAAATTTGATTCGCCTGTGATGTGCGCAACTTCTGCAAGTAGGGCATTTTATCGACAAAAAGACGAATTTCTCGAACCGTCTTGGCAAGTTTTCGTTCATCGAATTGAGCAGTAAGACTTTTAGCTGATGAGCTCAAAATTGGACCCAAAGTCAAGTAATGCGAGTCACGAAGTTTTTTGTACAGATCTTCACTAGAGTTGAGGTAAAAACGTTTCTTTTCAGTGGGTGGTTCGACGCTTCTAGAGCCAGCGCCAGTACTTGAACTGTCATCAGGATTGTTTTGCAAAAATTTCTCTGGCGGAAGCTCAATCACAGTCTGGTTGATACCGTAGATTTCATCTAAAATACCTTCATATGACTGCTGAAATATAAATGGCGAAAGCAAGTCAATAGAACGATCAACTAGGATAAGCTGATCAACGTGAGGCACAATAGAAGGTTCCATGGCATTGATTTCTCGCCTCATCTTCACAATCATGTCGTAGACAATTTTAGAAGAGCGGCCAATGCCTGAAACAGAGGGAATGATGCCGAATAAGCACTGAAAAGTCATCAAAGAACGGGCACACTGGTGGAGAGACGAGTAGTCGTTTTCAATTTGGACTTCACGAAAACTCAATGGCCACTCAATGGAGATCACATCAGAGTCTAATACGTAAAAGCCGGGCGAGTATTCAGTGATGGATGAAAAGTCGCCATAAACGCCCAGTACTTGAAGTTTTCTTTCGCAAAGAACACATTTGCGAGGAACGAAAATAATGTGCAAGTTGACATTCTGAAGGCGCTTACCACTTTCTTGGCGAATGTTTTCTGTAATATAAAAGTGTGAAAAATGATATGAGTGGCATCAACATTAAAAAGGTACAATTACCGGCAACAATGTCAATAAAAGGAAGCTCGGGCCTCATAAAGTACACCAAGTTTTGTGCATTGATGCTGGGCAAATTTCCAGCTCGTAATTCAAGCATCTGAACGATCTTGTGCTCTTTTAGCAGACCGTAGTCGCTGATGAGACCAAAGGGGCCGACAAGTTTAGAATCCCAAATCATAGATTTGGTTCCCTCGATGCCGTCAATAAGGGCAAACAGATCGTATCGAGAGACATCACGTAGAGAGGCCAAGTTCAGGCGGCCTGCGTTGAGATGCGACATAGTGGAGGTAGATGTCAACAAGCTGTTAAGGATACTGGTGTTGGAGGTACTTGAAAATGCCAAAGAAATGATTAAATAATGACCAATGGGAGGTTTCGCCTGCCAAAATTGCTTTTGCCAAAGGAAAAAGTCATTCGCCGACTGTAAACAGTGGCACTGATGCGCTTTTGTCGCCGTCTGACGACGTAATTTTAACAGACAACAAAATCTCACATTGCGCTACAAAATAAGTTTCAGGTAATCATCAGAGATTTTATTAAATAGCTGACTAAAGTTATTGTTTGAAATAATATTAAGGTATAATAAAATACTCGATCATCAAACAGGCACATTTTAACGGATAACGTTGATTATTTCGACTTTCGAGTGTAAAACTTTTGCAATGCTTCGGCGCACTCTTCTGACTTCCAGCTTTGCTGGAGCACATCGCACTCGACCTTATTAATTTCGTGCAGCATCAAGCGTGTTTCTTCATTGATCACCAATCCTTTGGCGTTGTTCATCGAGTTTGGATAACACGTCTTCACTAGGCCCTTCTCTCCGTAGAGCCACTCATTAACGTGAGAGTCAAGCTTATCAGAGGGTACTACACGAGAGACAAAACCTCGACGATGAGCCTCTTCTACCGGCATCACGTAGTTAAAGTACAGCAGCTCTGACGCCAATGAAGTGCCAAAAGTTCGAGGAAAAGTGTACGTTGAACAGCCTTCAGGTGATTGGCCAAGGGCAGAGAAGGGACAGGTGAACGAGGCGGTGTCTGAGGCAATAACAGCATCGTACAGTCCCAAAGTGGTGAACATTATGCCAAAAGCAGGTCCATTCACTACGCCAATCAAAGGTTTGGGAAAGTCAATAAAAGCAGCCACAAAGCGCAGCAGCAAATCACGAGCAAGTTGAGTAGACTTTTCAATGTCTCCTCCCGTTTCTTGAAGACCCTTTGTAAAGTTTTCTGAAAGAAAGCAAAGTTATAAAAAAGTTTAAAATATAAAAACGAGACTTACTCAGATCATTTCCACTTGAGAAATACTTTCCAGTTCCAGTCAAAACTACAAACTTGACTTCTGGATCTTCACCGGCTCGCTTCAGAGCTTCGACGATACCGTCATACATTTCACGAGTAATGGCATTGTACTGTTTTGGGCGATTCAGTTTAATCCAGTAAACGTGATCTTTCGACTCAAACACCAAACCAGGCTCTTCTTCAGCAGATGAAGCAGCAGGACCGGCAGCGGCGATCAGTTCACCGACAATTGAAATGTAGTTCTTCTTTGCCTCTTCCGATGACAACTCGCCCAAACTGCTCCAAGCTTGCCACTTTGCCTTCTCCACGGCGTTAAACATTGACGGCTTCTCACCAGCACAAGGCCCATTGGTCGCTTGCTTGTACAAGGCGTACAGCTTCAGCTTTTGTTCATTGTCTACATCGCCGTTCACCTTCTGGAGACTGGCTACTGCTGTTTGAAACTCTTTCTCAAGCGTTTCAGAAGAAAACAGTCGCTGTTGTTGAAAGTTGTTTAGCGCAAGATTGTGCTTGCAAGAGGCGATAGTAATCAAGGCTCGACTGTTGAGCTGTGGTTGTTGAACCGAAAAGCTGCGGGCAAGCAAGTTGACATTCCTTGCTAGCTTTACTGCAGAGCGATACATTTTCGTGTTGATGAAATTGAAAGTCTAAAAACAAAAACAAAAATGACACTTGATAAAAAGTCTTTGATCAAAGACAGCACTTCAAACCTTTCAAGTACGAGAATGATTGCACGCAAAGCTGGGGATGAAATTCCGCCAAAGTATCGGTGTATATTTAGAATGAAAAAAAACTTATCAAGCCAAAAAGATCGCGTGCACTCAAGTTGAGCTTTGGTTTATTTTTCTACTCCTTTCTGAAGAACTTCTCTGCAAGAGAAAAGCGNATTTAGAATGAAAAAAACTTATCAAGCCAAAAAGATCGCGTGCACTCAAGCTGAGCTTTGGTTTATTTTTCTACTCATTTCTGAAGAACTTCTCTGCAAGAGAAAAGCCCTCCCGAAACTTTTCTCATTTTATTTAACAAAACTTCTCCGCATCAATCCAAGATTTTATAAATACAAAATGTTTTAATTATTTAAAAAGATATTTCAGTGGTAGTAGAGTCACTGTTTATTTAGTTGACAGCAAGAAGAAAGGTTTCGCAAAAATTTACCAAATTTACTCCACATATTTATCGGGAAACCGCTCGATTGAATTTGATACTAGGGAAAAACATTTTTGCAATTATTCAATTTTTTTCTGTTTCACATTACCGTTGTTCGAACAGGTGGAAGAAGAGGAGGAAGAGGAGGAGGAGGAGGAGGAGGAGCTGCGTAAAAGGTTTTCACAATTGGCTCTGGGATCTAACTCAAGAAGAAGATCCACTTTAGTATAAGGATGACTACAAAAGAAAACTTGCCCTTCGTTCCACAATGACTGGTCTTTCAATGGCGAAAGGAACTGGCTGTGGAAAAGGAACCTAAACAAATGTAGTGAAAGTGNCTCAAGAAGAAGATGCACTTTAGTATAAGGATGACTACAAAAGAAAACTTGCCCTTCGTTCCACAATGACTGGTCTTTCAATGGTGAAAGGAACTGGCTGTGGAAAAGGAACCTAAACAAATGTAGTGAAAAGTAGAAGTGGCGTTTGCGTAAAATAACAAGCTGAATATCTGACTTACCTGCTGAATTACGGGCACTGGAACGGGCACCTGCCGCTCAATCGTATGGAATACCTCCATTGGTACTATAACTTGCTCGATGACGCGCTGTATAGGCGGAGGCTGTTGCTTAAGGCAATTTTCAGAACATTGTCATGGTCATTTACTGTGCACACACTTACTGTCTCTCGAAGAACGATTGGAGGTGGCGGTGGTGGAGCTGGAACAGGTGGAGAAGGTGCCTCGTTGTACCCCTTTTCTGGCTCACTGCGAAAATTGAATTGGGTATTGGCATTGTTTAACCGCCTCGCTCTNTGGTACTATAACTTGCTCGATGACGCGCTGTATAGGCGGAGGCTGTTGCTAAAGGCAATTTTCAGAACATTCTCATGGTCATTTACTGTGCACACACTTACTGTCTCTCGAAGAACGATTGGAGGTGGCGGTGGTGGAGCTGGAACAGGTGCCTCGTTGTACCCCTTTTCTGGCTCACTGCGAAAATTGAATTGGGTATTGGCATTGTTTAACCGCCTCGCTCCATTTTGAACACTGCTGTAACCTTCTCGATTTGATTCACCATTGCTTTCAACGGAAGTTTCTGGCAAAGTTTTTGCTAACCTAAAAGTTTGGCTCGGTGTTGGAAGAACTCGAGAGAATGTTTCAACTGGAGCTCTTTGTACCGTAATGGAGTTGTCCACTGTTCGAAACAATGTGCGAAGAAGAATCGGTGTTCTGGCAGTTAACTGGCTGGCAAGTTGGTTATTTGACTTAAATTCAGCTGAACTTGGATTGCCACCATCTGTCATTGATTGTGCATATGAGTTGGTCGACTGAGATGCCATCGGTTCACTAGTATCTCTAAACAGTCCTCTTAAGTCTTCATATGTGCCCAAGTTTGTGGTGAAAGGCCTTATCTTATGTGATGCCCCAAACTCCTACACAGAAAAACTATGGAACACACTGAATTAGGTTAAATCAATAATTGCAAACCTTTTTTGTTGAGACGATCATAAAAGGCATCAGCATCAGCTGTAGCACCATCACTGGATTTGTTTTCATGACGAAGTGCCAAAAAAAGTAGAGCTCCGAAGCAATTGAATGACTGTTCAGCCAGCAACGATTATCAAAGTGTGCCTTTTTGTTTCTTTTTTATATGCCTTCTTGTGAAGACGATCATAAACGAGCTACCGCAAAAAATCCTCTTTTTTGTGGTCATCAGCTAATTTTCATAGCTGCAAAAAGTAGTTCATTCTAATCCACACAAACGCATTATCGACACTTTCATCTTTTTGCAACTTTTCACTTAGCGCGCATTGCCACAGACCAAAAACACTGAACAAGCCCACAGACACACTGTAACTTCTATGTGCTCTACTTCTTAACGTTATGTCATTTTCATCTAGTCGCCTTAGAACTGCCCAAACTCCCAAAACTATTACTGGTGATGATGGCATGGAAGGAAAAAGTGAAAAAGGAAGAGAGAGCACTTTCATAAAGCACTAATTCGAATGCCATTAGGCCTGTTCTCACATTGGAAGCATTTGTGATAAAGCAAATTAATTACGATGAAGAAGACGCCCCGTTTCGATAAGAATCGGTCATCTCAATTAATTAGTGTGGTAATTAANATGATGGCATGGAAGGAAAAAGTGAAAAAGGAAGAGAGAGCACTTTCATAGAGCACTAATTCGAATGCCATTAGGCCTGTTCTCACATTGGAAGCATTTGTGATAAAGCAAATTAATTACGATGAAGAGGACGCCCCGTTTCGATAAGAATCGGTCATCTCAATTAATTAGTGTGGTAATTAATAAATAGCCAGTAGCGGCAATGGAAACTTTGAAACACAGCAGAGAGAGACAGTGCTGACATCAAACTCCCTTGCTTTAAAAGATGTGTTTGGTCGACCTAGCTAAAAGTAATATTTAAACTAATCTGACTAGCTAGATTGTCGTTTCTTTTTTCTTCTACTATTCCTTATTTCAGTAGGAAAAGTAGTAAAAACAAACAGGTGAGTACAACTAGACAAATGAAAATTGATAGCAAATCAGTGCAAGATCTTAAACATTGAGCGACATTTCATTAAGTACAGTTTGGCTGGCCACAAACACTCTGGGCATCATGTCTTTTTCTTCATGCCAAGTTGAAGAAATCGATTTTTCTGACGGGGTACCGAATTTCCGCATTTTTTCAAGCTCAGCAGTTGGAAAAATACTTGGGTTTTCTTTACTAATCTCATTTAGAGTGCCTTATGCCAATGTGAGTCATCTCAAGAAAGGCTGTTTGGTGCAGTTGAGGCAATACTACTTTCCTTGCAAACTCTTAGCAGATGGCATCTTTTAATTGGCTTTCTTTCTTAATCGAGATACTTAATCGTAGCACTTTGCAAGTTTGTTTTCCTGCCGCAAGCTTGTGTGGTCCCACAATTGGACCCAGTAGAAAAGAAGTGTTCATTAAGAAGGCGAGCAATTATCGAGCTAATCGAGTGAGCAGTTAGTTCAATTGATTGCAATCTTCCTGATTGTGCTTTGAATTATTTACTTTTGGTCATTTTCAGTGTAGCGGGTCAGTCCATTGAACTTGGATGGATTATTTAGTGAACTCAAGGTTTTGATGCTCACACACTGGCGAAAATGGTTTAACAATTGGCCAAAACTCACCTCTTAAAATGTGCCAAGTGGGCAAATCCACAGCTAAACACGGCCACAATTTACGACGCCATTGATCAATTAGATCAACTCGAATTCAATAATTTGCACCATTGTTTGGAGCAAAATGCAGCAATGAATAGACTCCTTGCATGGAGGCAATAATTTATAGCCAGCAGTTTGTAGCTTCAAACTGCACTTTTGTCGACCCTGCACTAATGTGATGCTGGCAGTGCAAAAGTTTAATTTAAAGTCGTACTGGCAATTACCAGGACAAGTCCTACTGTTAGTGGCACCAGACAGTCGTTTTCTTTACAATAGAAAAGCAAGGCAAAAACTCGAACGTTTCTATGTCCTGTGGAATGCACTGGGCAGTACAGGAGGAAAAACTGCCTGTGCCAGTGTATACACTTGTTAATATTTGTTTCACGATTGCACCGCCTGTGCACCAAGTAGATTTTTAAATTCTACTAGGCAGTTTGCACTTTTTTATAAAGCTACAGCAGTTGCAGCAGCTCTTAGCGGTAACGAGACTCACTGTCTCAAGAATAAAGAGACTGGGCAACTGAGCCACTGAGACTGTGTGATTTATCAGCTTTGCCTTTGCCTGTCCAGCTGTCATTATTTAGCGTTACAGCAAACTAGCGACTGAGAATTCCTTGTTTCCTTCAGACTCGTGTCCCGTTCTCCCCACCCTTAATTGTAGCCCCTCTGCCATGTGACTTTTCTTTATGGAGGCAATAATGCCGATGCTTCATTGACTCTGAACGCTTCACGTGTCTTTGTGTCTCATCAAATCTACTCAAACAGACATTGTTTTTATCTATTTTGATTGTTTTTCAACTAAATCATTGCCAACAGTGATAATTTTTAAAACTTCTAACTTAAAAATCTGCAGTGAGCATCATTTTTTGTCATGAAAAAAATCAACATTTTTGTCAGCTGAAAATTAGGCAGAGAAGACAAAGCGACTTAATTGTAGATGGCAAAANAATTTCTAAAACTTTTAACTTAAAAATCTGCAGTGAGCATCATTTTTTGTCATGAAAAAAATCAACATTTTTGTCAGCTGAAAGTTAGGCAGAGAAAACAAAGCGACTTAATTGTAGATGGCAAAGCCAGCAATTATATTAGCTGTTCGACGATTGCCTTTATCTCTGCACAAGGGTACCTAATTAAGTCGGCAAAGGCATGCGACTAAATTGGTGCGCCTAAAATTACTCATGAGCGTGACTGCCTTTTGACCGGTTGGCGACACTGCCTGCAGTGTTAGAGGGGAGAGGAAGAGCAGCGACACTGTATTGATTGCAATCAGTCTTTGAAAGTCTACGTCGACGAGTGGTGTGCGTTTGCAGACGCCTGAACTGCCTAACTCTTCTCTTCTTCATCTTCACTATCTTCAGTATCGATTGACAGTTGAAGTCATTTGCAATCGATACATCATTACGAGTTGCACTAATTTGACTAGTCTGCATTAGCATAGGAAGAGGATGATGCAAAGAATGGAAACATCAGGAGGAGGAAGGATGGTGATCAGCAGTGAAAGGGGGATCAGGAAATGCCTCAACTCGATTGTGCAACTTCAATTGTGCCTGCAGCCGGTGGCAGACTGCTAACGAAGTGGCAGACAGCTCGTGATCGGCGGCAGAGAGGAAGAAAGGCAGTGGAGTGTCAAATTGCCTTGGCCAGACTTGATCGCCCTCTCATTAGCGCCCATGTCGGTGCGGTCTGCTTGCTCCACCACTACCGTTCTTACGTGTGCTGCCGCTCGGAAGTTAGTGTCGTTAGTTCTCTTCATAATTGCTCTCGTCTTTTCGGCAAAACAAATCCGTTAATTACTGTAGCCGGTATTGTGCACTGTCGTTGTCTTTGCACAAGCTCCCTTATTGGCTGCAAATGCTGCTCCAGTGCTTATCAGCAGTTGATCATTTTTGAAACAAAAAATATATATTATACATTTGGTATAATGTAGGGCAGTGTATAGCTGCTTTTTTCAAAGAACTGATGGCAATGTAAATTATCTTTGGGCATCTGATGCAGTTCATTTGCACATTGATTAGTTAATGTATTGCACAAAGTGAACAAGCGTTGAATAGCTATTTGGAATGACTTTTTGTGTGGTATTTTTCTTTGATTTTGGTACTTTTATTTACTGTTCAAGTGAGTTTATCAATAAAAATACAGTCAAAATGCACAGTTTGATCATTCTTGACGACGCACTAGTAGCAAGGCAATCTTTAATTGGCTTTAATTTTGTGAGACAATCAGCCCAGTTGCCCAAACAAAAATGTCACTGTGGCACCCGGGACCAGAGCTGTTTTTAGAGCAAAAAATTCAAAGTGCCAAAAATCGTCTGCCAAAGTGGCATTAGAGTTGCCGTCGGGTAGCATTGAGACTGAATCTAATCGAATTTTCATGGCCATTTCTAACTGA